CGGGGTAGGGGTGATGCCCAGGGTGGGGGCCGATGCCCGGGGTGGTGGGTGATGCCCAGGGTGGGGGGCTGATGCCCGGGGTAGGGGTGATGCCCGGGGTGGGGGCCTATGCCCAGGGTGGTGGGTGATGCCTGGGGTGGGGGCTGATGCCCAGGTGGCTTCCTCCTCCTGTGATCACAGGGACTGCTATAAAGTGTCCCCACAACTGGAATCCTCCCTCCCAGCACAAACCCTTCCGGAAGGCTGGACATTCCAACGCCCCTAGCTCCTTTTCAAGGGCCACTAACTATAACTCTGGCTTCAAACAGTGCTTTGCCTCCAAAACTGTCCGTGAAGGCCGTGTCTCACAGGCTTAGAAAAGCGAGGCAGCCCTGCAGACCACAGATTTGCATTTGTTCTCTAGAGAGCTAAATGCATCCTTTGTTCTGACAGAAAAAAAAAGTGGGGGTAGGCTGGCAGAAGAAACAAACCAGTATCATGCCGGGGAAGGATCGAAGCTGGAGGGTTGCAGGCACACAGAGCTCACAGGCCCCACTGTTCGAAGGCGTGCAGCTGGGCTCTGGGCACATAACTGTATCTAACTGGCTCTGGCCTGCTACTGCCACTGGCCTGAGACGCTGCCTGCGCCGGAGTCCTGGATTTGGGGTCTGCTGGGTGAGTTCCGGGGTCCCTGAGTAGTGCAAACGGTTAAGCACTTGACTGCTAACCAAAAGGCTGGCAGTTCTAGTCCACCCAAAGGCATCTTGGAAGAAAAGCCTGGAGATCTACTTTCGGAAAAATTAGCCACTGAAAATCTTATGAAGTACGGTTCTACTCTGACACACATGGGGTCGCCATGAGTCAGAATAAACGTGTTGGAAACTGGTACTTTTTTTTGGGGGGGGGGTGAGTTTCAAGGTGGGATGATGTGATGGGGGCTCCTCATGGGCAAGGAGGGTCTTGGCTCCCTGGATGCAACCAGGCCATAGGCCCTCACGCTGCCCCTTCACTACACATCTCTACA